GTTCGCTGCTGAGCACGGATGCGACAGCTTCCAGGTGTCTCAGCCAGAGCACCTGAAGCAACGGACACCAGGGTCCAAAGACCCGCTCCTAGTGAGCACATCCTCTGCAGCAACTGCTTAACACTCAGCTTCACATGCTGCGCGTGCTTTGCCTGTCACCTCTTCAAGGGAGAGAGAGATGATGAAGACGTCCATCAGCTGCCATCTTGAATCCATCTGCTGCATCAGCCTGCCCAATTTTCTTTCAGACTCTACACTAAACGTAAGCATCTTACGCCTTTCCCGAGTTTTGCGTACCGGCATGCACCCAGGTGCTGTACGTGCCTTCCCAAATTAAACAGTAAGCGCGTACATGTAATATTGAGAGCATGCAGTGCACAAAGACACGTATAAATGTGCACACACGTATGCATACACACATACACACACCCCTTCTGCACGCATGCCTATCACTATTCCTGCCAGACTAGGATCCGGTGAAGTCAGTATTTCACCCTCAGATGACTCCAGCAGGCTACAAAGCCTGAACTGGGATCTGGGACGCACACCACCAAGGCCGATCTCCTCCCCTGGCATGGGACCTGTATTTTAAAACAAGACAGATTCGAAGACAAACTTTTCGGATGACTTACTGCCATCAAGAAAAATGACTTGCATGAACTATGACCCATCCTGAAAGCTGCGTGATTAAATACTCATCCCTGTCAAAAATGCCGAGCTGAATCTCCAGGGATCCAAACTCGCTCAAATGCTTTCATTAACGAAGCCATCTTCTAGACATCTTCATGGGGTTTAAACAGAGGCGTTACTAGATCAGGACCTGCCCACGTCATGACTACCCAGTAGGTTGCTTCCATGTTAGAAGAGGATTTTGGTACGACTCTTCACACGCAGTAAGTGGTTGTGCTGCCATTTGGTTACATGCATCATGGCAATTTTGACATCACTTTCCCAAAGCTCAAAGTTTACTGAAGTCTAAATAAGATCACTAAAAAAATGTGGTAACAGCTCTGCTCCTTAAATCAAACTAACAGTAAAGAAATACAGCTGAAAGTGTTAAAGAAAGAAGAAATCTTCATTAAATACCTTCATTTCCAGCTCTGTAAAGCTGTGGATGCAGCTGACCCCAGAAGTGCTTGTTACACAGAAAAGCACTCGCTGCCCTGAATAACCCATTGAGTTCAACGGCGTCTTTCAAGGAGATAAAGAACTGGGGGGGAGAAGGCCCCACATTTGCCATGAACCAAAATTAAATAACCCCACTCAATAATAAACCACTGCCTGTCACATTCGTCTTTTCCACACAACTGTGGGGCTAGAGCTCACCTAAAGCTCCTCTTGTTTAAAGAGGGCAATAAAAAAAATATAAAAAAAAAAAGCTATTTTGATTTTCAGGGCAAACAAATACAGCAAGATTCTCACACTAATTAATGATTAAAGAACTGTGGAAGACAAATAACAAATTCTTTAGTTTTGCAAGAACCAGACTAGGATTAACAGCTGAGAAGAATTACAAAGAGTTCATTATTGACACAGCACTGAGGCAAGCTAGCTTGGAATTGTTTTTCAAGGGCAATCCCCATTATCAAGTCAATTATGTTCCTCTTAGCAACCTACTCCCATCACAAAGTTCAGGGCATTTGAACGCTTTTGGAACTGACAACATATAAATTTTTCTGCTGCTGTTCTTTTTCACCTCATTTGGAATACAGAAGTAATAACATGAAGCATCACTGAGATTGATGCTATTTAAATCTGCACGAGTAACACTGCAAGAAGCAGTAAGGAAAAAGCATGGCACTAGATGAAGCAGCACAAAATAGGCTAGCTGCGGGTTTGAGACCTTTCTTCCCAGTGTTTCCCCTGGCATTGCCAGGCCTCCCTTACACAGAAGTAATGGCAAGACTGGCAGAGGTGCAATGGATTGTCCGCAGCCTCACGTCATACCCTCACACCCTGGTTCAAAGGCCACGAGATTAACAAAGCAGCCCGCATCGCCTTCTGCAGGTCAGCACCTAGTCGGGAGACCCGTGACAGGCACTGGGCATTTTTTACAACAGCCAAACCTCGCACCACCAACATCTGCTGCTGCACTGCGGAGCAGTCCCCTCCGGGCAGGGGGTCCCAGGAGCCTGCACGCACCCCAGGGCCGCAGGAAAGCTCAGGGAGAGAAAGCTCTGCTGTAGCATCGCTGCCTCAAATAACTACCAACAGCAACAAACCTCACCTCATTTTATGGAAAATCTCGTATAATCTTACACAATCAAAGAGATCAGGGTTCATACCTTGAAAACCAACATATTCTTTTACAGGTCTGTTCGAGCAATCCTAAGATGGAGGTATGAAAGCTGAACAGGAGCAGGAAACAAGCCCTCTGAAACGTGACAGGGGCATGGACCATCCCTAAAACATAACCTGTCTGATGGCAGCATAGGTGTCAGCAGTGAAAGCAGGAAAATCTCCAGCGAGGTCTAGGCCAGTGTGACGAGAGGCCATGCCAGAGGAGGAGGTGGAGCTGATGAAGAAACATGAACAGGAAATGGTCCCGAGAGCCACAGCCCCTTGTCTGAGGTGAAGAAAAGCTTCAGACAAGAAACGCGTTTTTGAAAAACCTCAGTGTATTTTCCCCTCCCTGTAAAACCCTGGTCTTAAAGAATGGAAAAGGCTTTGAACACCCTTTATGCAAACAGAGCACGGAGAAACTGCAGGCTATTTGGACTAAAAGCCTGGTGGCACCAGAATTTATGGGAGAAGAGATAAAATACCAAAGCATCTTCCAGACACAACCGTCCCCCCCGACCCCCTTCACCTCGATCGTTGTGCCCAGCGGCAACCGTTGGGTTGTGCCTAGGACACGCAGGGTTCCCAGTACTCACGCTGAAAACGTCCTGGTCCTTCGGGTGGGCAGCGGGCTGGGGATGAGGTACCCTCTCATGGGCGATGGGGAGCGGTCTCTCACCCTGCGGTTTTCAGGCAGATGGAGGGAACTGGGTGAGGGTGGAGAGGTGGGGGACTGCTGCGACGCGGATGAAGCGGGCTCAGAAGACATTCCTGATGCCTGAGAAAAACCTGGAGAGAGAAGAGATCTGACTTAGCCCAAAATGGGAATTGTCCTAAAAGTCACAAATCCTTCGGCTGATGATTCTGTAAGAATATGACTCACTTCCTGTAGATGCGCACGCGGACACGGTTGCACCAAAATCTCCTGCGCTGTGTCAGTGAGTGCACTTTTTAAAGTTTATTTTTAAATCTCACAGCTTTTGTAAGCTGCAGTACGAAGCTCCACTGAAAACAGGTTACTCCACAACTACCACGTGTTTGCTTACTGCTGCCTCACTCACAGGCAGTGGCTCCTGAAGCAGAGCTCAGCCGCAACACCGGGCATCGGCGTGCCCCACACAGCTCCTGGACGGATGGGGTTTGACCACTGCCAGCACACAGGAGCCTCCAGCACCTGCACACAAGCGCGCACTACAAAACAGAAATCGAAGAAGAAGAATGGCTGCAATAAAGGCTGCACCTCGACTGCTGGAGGTTAGTTCTGCTGTGCAAGCGCCGGTGCTAACTTTGTTGCTGCTGCTGAGCTGTTAGCACAGTTCTGTCAGAGCTCACACCACCTTCACCTTGACTGCAAGCAGAAACTCACACCAGTGCTCCCCAATTCACCTCAGAGGGAGGCAGGCAGTTGATTTTCTCTGCCAAGGCCAGGAGCACAGACAAAGCCAGGTGACCTGTCCTGCCTGCCCCTCTACCCCTTCGGCAGTCCTGAGCCTGCCACCGTCCTCCAGCAGCTAGGAAGCCGGCAGCCTGTACCTGCCCTCATCAGAGCTGCTCTTGTTCACGTCCTGCAGCCGAGGAGGGAGCCGGGCCCGTTCGCAGCACACCAGCAGCAACACGCGTCTCGTCACACAACAAGCAGAACGCACAGAACCCGTGGAAACAGAAGGACTGACAAGACTGATAGGAGACAGCTGCCCTTCTACACACATGAGCACAAGGCTTACAGGGGCAGCAGGGACAGAAAGAAAACAGTCAGCACTGCTCCAGTGTTGCTGTGCACGTCCCCGTCCGCACTGGAAGAGGAACAAGCTGTGCAAATTAACCAAATTAACCAATAATCCACCACACTCTTAATAAAAGCTCAAAATATCTGGTCGAGTTAGCAAAAAAGTGTGGTGATCTGGGTCAAGAAAATCTCATGAAGGCAAGAAAAGCCGCCTTTAAGGCCAATAGGTTCCTTGAACTGAAATCTCTCCCACCCACTCTGCACCCTCCGTTTGACACCCACGCTCCCCAGCCCATGAATTATGGAGTGGATCCTTCACACGACATCTGAGAGATGCAGCCTTCTTGTCAGTGACAAACTCCCATTATTTCTTCCCGAAACTAAGGGCTAAAATTAAAAAAGGCCTCTTAAGAATGAAGTCACCAGGAAACAAAGGCTTTTGTGTTTCATCGCTCAGGGTGCTGAGAAGGTGGAAGTGGATAGTCATGTTCCCTCGTGCACCAGCTTGAGCTTTCCACACTGTTCTCAGAAGCAACCACTCCACTGAAAACAAAGCCACAGCTTTACGGACGGTGTTGCAGACGGGGATAGCGTTTGCCACCCAGGAGCTAACGCCCTGCCCTGCGTCACGGCACAGCGTGCAGCTGAGACCCAGGCAACACCACAGGGATGGGATTTTCCAGGCTTCCTCCTCCTCCAAGAGACCTGCTGCGCTGGCCGGTACTGGGGAAGTCTCCTCGGATTTTGAAAGACCTCACCTTTGGGTGCCTTGCTTTCAAGGAATGCATGTTTGACATAGCAGGACTACTATAAGTCACAGGGAAAATAAGAGTGAACAATTAAAACCTCCCTCTGATAACGCAGCACACACGGCCTGGCCTTCGCACGAGTGAAAACGCAGCTTTCAGAACCGCACGCTTTCTCTCCCAGCCTAAAGACAAACCAGCCCGTCAGGTGACCAGCCAAACGCAGAGCTGTTCACCCATCCACAGCAATGCAGGAGAGCCAACCGCAAAGTACCGCCTGTACCCTGCCTCAAACAAGGGCAGAGAGGCAGGAGAGCTTTCCCTCCTTTAAAACACAGATGAACCACAAAAACATTTACAAACAAAGAAGGCCAAATGAAGTTAGAAGTGGGCTAGCGTACGCTATTGCTCCCATCTACGTTATTTTTGTGCCTTCTGCTCTGTAAACATAAAATAAAACAGTGATGTAGAACATTCAGTGCCATTTCGCCGTACAAATACCCTTTTTGTTCTCTGCCCACGGCCAAAGCAGATGAATGGCCTCGGCTCTCAGAATTTCTATTACACAAGCCCTAAGGCGTGATCAGAGCTCCGCGAGAGCTGACACGCAAAAGCGGGCGGCTGGAGGCAGCCCGGAGCAGCCCCGCTCGCCGCAGCGA